TACAAGCTGCAGAACTTCTAGAAACATGTCCTGTGACTGTATATGTGTATATAAAATATAGAAAAATAGCAATAAACAACATTTTATATCGTTTGTGTGTGTAAAGAATAATTATAAACGATATAAGGACAACAGTGTTTGTGCAGTTATTGCACAGTAAATAAAGAGAAAAAATTTATAAAATAGTGCTCATATTGGTCTCACAGGCCATAAAAGTTACTTGGAAAAAAAAAATAAAAAATAATAGAAAATAGTACCTAAAAAAAGAAAATACATGTAAAGTAATACCGGGTGATGGCAGTCGGCGATGTTACCATATAGGGGGCATTTTCTGTCAACTTCACGCCTCCATATCTCGGTAAGTATTGATGGTAAAAAATTGTTGTTTAGCCTATAATGTTTAGAAAAAATATCTTTTCATAAGAAAAAATAATTTTTTTTTTTTTTTAATTTTGGTGACCCTGAGAGGGCCTGGCAACCCTGAAAGGGTTAATAGTCAGCAGTATTAAGTACTTCATAGTTAAAAAGCAGAGATCCATTGCATTACGATAATCAACTGCCAACAACTCTGCATCCACATAAAAACAAAATCCACATCCATTTACCTCAGCCCACTAGGGTCACATCACCCTTCTCCACACACACTTCAGTGCCAATAAGTGATCACAACTAGCCTATAAAGCAAGATGAATTTTAGTAATTTGTACTTATTAAGATACTTTTAAAAATGTCTCGAATTTAGAGGCGTCTGGAACGTAAGGCCAATTTTTTCTCAGGTTCTTCACTTCAGACAATGTGATTTTAATTTAAGCACCAATTTCAGGCATGTAACTCATGTTTTACTCAGTAGCTTAATGTACATCACTCGAGGTTCTGACCTGGGGGTTGGTGAGGATGGGAAGGAAGAGGTATGGGGAGGGCTGGGAAAAAATGGAAGAAGTTGGGAGGGTGGAGTAGGAGGAGGAGTAGCAGAGGTAAGTGGCCTGTCCACTCTGGAGCTTGATGTGCAGAGGTACTGCAGGAGGTTGTACTGGAGTGAGATGTGCTGGTGGCAGCAGTGTTGGTAGAGTAGGGATGGAACTCAGGCGCCTGGCAGGAGATGGCTGGGGGTGCCCAGGAAAACAGGGTCCTTTTGGAGCCACACCCCAGCTTTAGCTAAATAGCAAAGCGCTGGGGAACTTTGGTTGCTGGTCGGTGATGATTAGACTGTGCCGCTGACGGAGCCATTTCTGAGTGTGTTGAATTTTGCTCTTGAGAGGTGATGTACCTCCATTTTGAAGTTGATGCGTCTTTTGTCGTTGAGGGTGACGAATATGTCTTGTAGGGTTGGAGGTGAAGTTCCGTGTACTGTGTACATGTACTTTGCAGTGTTGTCTTGGAGTCGTTGGCTGAGTTCTGGGAAGGGCATCAATTTGCTGTATGGTTTTGTGGTGTAGAACTTGGCAAAGTCGTGTCTGAAGGTCTGATCAGTTGCTGGTGGGGGTTGAGCTGGGCGAGTCGGGGTTGCTGATACGTCAGTGGTTTCAGGGGTGGCAGGTGGTGGTGGGTTCACGTTGGTGGTTTCTTTTGCGGTCTCGGGGGTCTCTGGTTGGATCTCATTGGTGGGTTCTGCTGAGGTCTCAGAGGTTTCTTGTTGGGACAGCTCAGGGTCTGGTGGAGGTTGAGGTAGCGGTGGAGCAGTGATAATGTCAGTGATATTTGCAGCGGATTTGAGAATCTCAGTGGAAGGTGGTGATGCGGGCAATGTGAAACCCGGCATGTTGTTGAGGTTGAAGAGTTTGTTGATGGTGGTGTTGAAGGAGCCGGGCTCAGCTGAATTCTGTACATGGGCATACATGATGCAGTAGAGGATTTTGGTGGAGTCGCCAGCAATCTTTCTTGCCATGGCTTGCCAGACAATAAATGGCTAACCCACATATGTTACTAGAATCTGACAATGATATAGGACAAATGCATCATACTCAAGGATTCTTTAGCAAAAAATAATAATACTCTGTTCCAAAAAGGGAGTAATGCACCACCAACCTAAAACTGCCCATATCTGAGTAGCTTCCAAAGTATCTTCTATAGCATTTATAAATGGATTCCAAATATTTGTTTTTATAAGTACTGTAGTTTTGAACCAAGTGTGAGAGTACTTGTGGTTGGGGATTTTAATGCTAAAGTGGGAAAAAATGTTGTGGAGGGAGTAGTAGGTAAATTTGGGGTGCCAGGGGTAAATGAAAATGGGGAGCCTTTAATTGAGCTATGTGTAGAAAGAGGTTTGGTAATAAGTAATACATATTTTATGAAAAAGAGGATAAATAAATATACAAGGTATGATGTAGCACGTAATGAAAGCAGTTTGTTAGATTATGTATTGGTGGATAAAAGGTTGATGGGTTGGCTCCAGGATGTACACGTTTATAGAGGGGCAACTGATATATCGGATCATTATCTAGTTGTATCTACAGTTAGAGTAAGAGGTAGATGGGATATGAGGAAAATGGCAACAACAAGTAAGAGGGAGGTGAAAGTGTATAAACTAAGGGAGGAGGAAGTTCGGGTGAAATATATGCAACTATTGGCAGAAAGGTGGGCTGGTGCAGGTATGAGTAGTGGTGGGGTTGAAGAGGGTTGGAATAGTTTTAAAAATGCAGTATTAGAATGTGGGGCAGAAGTGTGTGGTAATAGGAGGGTGGGTGCAGGAGGAAAGAGGAGTGATTGGTGAATGATGAAGTAAAGGGTGTGATAAAAGAGAAAAAGGTAGCTTATGAGAGGTATTTACAAAACAGAAGTGTTATAAGAAGAGTAGAGTATACGGAGAGTAAAAGAAAGGTGAAGAGAGTGGGTGATAGAGTGGGAGAGGTACTGTCAAGGAATTTTAATGAAAATAGGAAAAAATTTTGGACTGAGTTAAACAAGTTAAGAAAGCCTAGGGAACAAATGGATTTATCAGTTAAAAACAGAGAAGGGGAGTTAGTAGATGGGGAGATGGAGGTTTTGGGTAGATGGTGAGAATATTTTGAGGAACTTTTAGATGTCGACGAAGAAAGGGAGGTGGTAATTTCATGCACTGGCCAGGGAGGTATATCATCTTTTAGGGGTGAAGAAGAGCAGGATGTGAGTGTGGGGGAGGTGCGTGAGGCATTACATAGAATGAAAGGGGGTATTAAGCGCTGGAAGACGGGATCATGACAGAAATGTTAAAAGCAGGGGGGGACATAGTGTTGGAGTGGTTGGTATTTTTGTTTAATAAATGTATGAAAGAGGGGAAGGTACCTAGGGATTGGCAGAGAGTGTGTATAGTCCATTTATATAAAGGGAAGGGGGACAAAAGAGATTGTAAAAATTATAAAGGAATAAGTTTACTGAGTATACCAGGAAAAGTGTACGGTAGGGTTATTATTGAAAGAATTAGAGGTAAGACAGAATGTAGAATTGCGGATGAGCAAGGAGGTTCTAGAGTGGGTAGGGGATGTGTAGATCAAGTGTTTACATTGAAGCATATATGTGAGCATGTATTTAGATAAGGTAGGAAGTTTTTATTGCATTTATGGATTTAGAAAAGGCATATGATAGAGTGGATAGGGGAGCAATGTGGCAGATGTTGCAAGTGTATGGAATAGGTGGTAAGTTATTAAATGCTGTAAAGAGTTTTTATGAGGATAGTGAGGCTCAGGTTAGGGTGTGTAGAAGAGAGGGAGACTACTTCCCGGTAAAAGTAGGTCTTAGACAGGGATGTGTAATGTCACAATGGTTGTTTAATATATTTATAGATGGGGTTGTAAAAGAAGTAAATGCTAGGGTGTTCAGGAGAGGGGTGGGATTAAATTATGGGGAATTAAATACAAAATGGGAAGTGATACTGTTACTTTTTGCTGATGATATTGTGCTTATGGGAGATTCTAAAGAAAAATTGCGAAGGTTAGTGGATGAATTTGGGAATGTGTGTAAAGGTAGAAAGTTGAAAGTGAACATAGAAAAGAGTAAGGTGATGAGAGTATCAAATGATTTAGATAAAGAAAAATTGGATATCAAATTGGGAAGGAGGGGTATGGAAGAAGTGAATCTTTTCAGATATTTGGGAGTTGACGTGTCAGCGGATGGATTTATGAAGGATGAGGTTAATCATAGAATTGATGAAGGAAAAAAGGTGAGTGGTGCATTGAGGTATATGTGGAGGCAAAAAATGTTATCTATGGAGGCAAAGAAGGGAATGTATGAAAGTATAGTAGCACCAACACTCTTATATGGGTGTGAAGCTTGGGTTGTAAATGCTGCAGCAAGGAGGCAGTTGGAGGCAGTGGAGATGTCCTGTCTAAGAGCAATGTGTGGTGTAAATATTATGCAGAAAATTCAGAGTGTGGAAATTAGGAGAAGGTGTGGAGTTAATAAAAGTATTAATCAGAGGACTGAAGAGGGTTTGAGGTGGTTTGGTCATTTAGAGAGAATGGATCAAAGTAGAATGACATGGAGAGCATATAAATCTGTAGGGGAAGGAAGGCGGGGTAGGGGTCATCCTCGACAAGGTTGGAGGGAGGGGGTAAAGGAGGTGTTGTGGGCGAGGGGTTTGGACTTCCAGCAAGCGTGCGTGAGCGTGTTAAATAGGAGTGAATGGAGACAAATGGTATTTGGGACCTGACGATCTGTTGGAGTGTGAGCAGGGTAATATTTAGTGAAGGAATTCAGGGAAACCGGTTATTTTATATAGCCGGACTTGAGTCCTGGAAATGGGAAGTAAAATGCCTGCACTCTAAAGGAGGGGTTTGGGATATTGGCAGTTTGGAGAGATATATTGTGTATATTTATACGTATATACTTCTAAACTGTTGTATTCTGGGTACCTCTGCAAAAACAGGGATTATGTGTGAATAAGGTGAAAGTATTGAATGATGATGAAAGTATTTTCTTTTTGGGGATTTTCTTTCTCTTTGGGTCACCCTGCCTCTGTGGGAGACTGCCGACTTGTTGAAAAAAAAAAATGCCCATTATGCATGCAACGTCTTCAAAAAACTTACTTTCCAGTACCATTACGGTCAATGCAAGCAACTGAGAGTCCAGCTAAGTGACTAGCAATATCTTGATTTATTTCATCAGCAAGAATATCCTCATAATGACCTGAGGAATAAAAAAAAAAGCCATTAAAATTACTGTATATCAGACAAAAGTTAGTGTGCAAGTTAATGCAAGACAGTAGGAACTCATCACCACAGTAAGGTTCAGTGAAACGAAAGATGAGCTCTCAGTTCTATATAGGATACCAACCTTCCCTTCATCTTAAAATACACAGTTAGGTATAGTGGTATAAAAGAGGAGCTCTCAGCTCTATATAGGGTACCAACCTTCCCTTCACCTTATGATACACAGTGAGGTTAAGTCATTAATTCCTAAGGTGGGTGTACCACACCACCCCCCTGGGGGTGGTGCCACCCACCCCACACAGCCTCCCTGGGGGTGGTAGAAAGATCTAGGGGGGTGAGGGACATTGAGGAAAATGGGGATGGCAGGGTGGCATTAGAACCAAGGGAATGCTTGTTTTACAAAATCTGTAAGACAAAGTCAAAATTATGAACAAATAAGTAACACAAATGCTGTACAAAGAATAAAATCAACAGAGTTATATACAAAAGCATAGTTTATTTTGTGGTCCAAAGTCAGAATTAAAATTCCAAACGTTTGTTCAGACGTGCCAGACGCCAGCCAGATTAAACAGACACCATGGGTACTGATGATGATTAAATTTTCATGTCTGCAAGGGCCAAGGCTCTAGGTTTGTACACACTGCCAGTTATCATCAGGAGGAATAATGGGTTTCACTCCAAAATGACACTGAGCTGAGGCCAAAGTTCAAAAAATCATCAAGATTTTTGGTTACAAAAAAACATTTCTGACTGCTACCCTGAACTGTGGAACAAAGTCAAAATGTACTTTATTGCCTTCCCCACATCATATTTAGTAGAGTGAGGCTTCACTGCAGCTACCAACCTTCTTTCCAAGCAAAGAAACAGACTGAAAATTACTGAATGTGGGAATCTAAGACTTCTCGGTGCCTTCATGCTTGATGTTGAGAAGCTGATGTCTCTACACCAAGCACCATTTTTATCTGTGAAATAAATATACTTGTGTATAGTGTTAGATTAGTTGCTCTTTTGAATTTGCAATAAACCTAATACCAAGAAAGAGGTGTGTTCATAGTATGTGTGAAGGGGGGGGGGGCACAAGGGATGTGGCCAGGGAGCCAAGGGGGCTGCAGCCAGAAAATGTTTGAGAACCACTGGGTTAAGTGGTATGAAAGATGAGCTCTGAGCTCTACATACCAAAGGGGGACAGTGAATTTCCCACTAAATGCATTCCTGAAATTTTTTATATGTTGTGTTTTGCTAAAAGTCCAACACCTTTTAACCCTTTCAGGGTTTCAGCCGTACTAGTACGGCTTACGCCCCAGAGTTTTTGACATACTAGTATGCCTAAATTCTAGCGCCCTCAAATCTAGTGAGAGAAAGCTGGTAGGCCTACATATGAAAGAATGGGTCTATGTGGTCAGTGTGCACAGTATAAAAAAATCATGCAGCACACGGTGCGTAATGAGAAAAAAAAAACTTTGACCGTGGTTTTGGATTAAAACAGTGAATTTGCACTGTATTTTCGTATGATATTTATTGTTGTATTCTAGTTTTCCTGGTCTCATTTTATAGAATGGAAGACATATTACAGAAATTAAGATAATTTTGACTGGTTTTACAATGAAAAGTACCTTGAAATTGAGTTCAAAGTAGCAGAAATGTTCGATTTTTACCAAAGTTCAAAAGTAAACAAAGCGTCCAATACACATCAACTGGTGAATCTAATATTCTTTCACAAGTGCGCTGATATTATTTATACCATTTCTACACTAATGCAGTAGTCTGCATAACAGTAAATCTTCTATTTTTTGTAAGAATAAAAATTCAAAGTGGAAAGCCAAAGAAATATAAGAGGGGCCTGGGGATGTGACTAACAAACAGAGAACTTGTTATTTTAGTGCCAGGAATGTCTTTCTTGTTTATTCTGGACCCTATTTGGAAATTGGCATCTTTTGAAATTTGTGTGAAATTGGCAAAATTGCTAAATTCTGACCACTTTATTGGATAGTTGAAATCGGTAAATGGGTGGTTTCTTGTACTCGTTCAATAGAAAAATCGAGTTCTAGCGAAATAGTTATGATTTTTGTCGACTAGTACACTGGAACTGGCCGAAAATAGGCTCAAAGTGGGCAAAAATCGCCGATGCGTAAACATCATCGAGACCACTAACTTCGTGAGAACATGTATTTCGTAAGTTTTCCATCAAATTTCATACTTTTGTTGCCATTATGATCGGGAAAAGATTCTCCATCTTTTCATAAGAAAAAATATTTTTTTTTTTAATTTGGGGACCCTGAGAATAAGTCTCGGAGAGGGCCTGGGGACCCTGAAAGGGTTAATTGATTGTCCTATTTATCAAAGGACACACAAAATTCACTTCTGTCACCCTTTTCTAACATTGATTCTTTCAGCCTTTCTGCTCTTCTTGCTAACAATCCAGCCTCAAAAATTTATTCTCTGTATGATTTTAGGGCATATTGTGCCAACTTTAACTCTTCCCCAATACTTTTTCCACCCATATGAACTACTGTATCTCCATTCTGTTTAGCACTGAATGAACCATGTGAGTTTGGTGCTTGTTTATTATATTTATTATTATAATAAAAAAGAAGTGCTAAACCCACTAGGTTCATACAGTTCTTTTTTTTTCAACAAGTTGGCCGTTTCCCACCGAGGCAGGGTGACCCAAAAAGAAAATACTTTCATCATCATTCAACACTTCCACCTCACTCATACATAATCACTGTCTTTGCAGAGGAGTTCAGATATGACAGTTTAGAAGTCCCTCCAAACTGTCAATATCCCAGACCCCTCCTTTATAGTGCAGGCATTGTACTTCCCATTCCCAGGACTCAAGTCCGGCTAAATCTATAATAACCGGTTTCCCTGATTTTTTTTTTTAACAAGTCGGCCATCTCCCACCGAGGCAGGGTGACCCAAAAAGAAAGAAAATCCCAAAACAGAAAAATACTTTCATCATTCAACACTGTCACCTCACTCACACATAATCACTGTTTTTGCAGAGGTGCTCAGAATACAACAGTTTAGAAGTATATACGTATAAAAATACACAATATATCCCTCCAAACTGCCAATATCCCAAACCTTTCCTTTAGAGTGCAGGCATTGTACTTCCCATTTCCAGGACTCGAGTCCGGCTACATAAAATAACAGGTTTCCCTGAATCCCTTCACTAAATATTACCCTGCTCACACTCCAACAGCTCGTCAGGTCCCAAATACCATTCATCTCCATTCACTCCTATCTAACATGCTCATGCACACTTGCTGGAAGTCCAAGCCCCTAGCCCACAAAACCTCCTTTACCCCCTCCCTCCAACCTTTTCGAGGACGACCCCTACCCCGCCTTCCTTTCCCTACAGATTTATATGCTCTTCAAGTCATTCTACTTTGATCCATTCTCTCTAAATGACCAAACCACTTCAGTAACCCCTCTTCAGCCCTCTGACTAATACTTTTAGTCAGAGTGCTGCCTCCTTGCTGCAGCATTTACAACCCAAGCTTCACACCATTATAGGAGTGTTGGTGCCACTACACTTTCATACATTCCCTTCTTTGCCTCCATAGATAACATTTTTTGTTTCCACAGATACCTCAACACACCACTCACCTTTTTTCCTTCATCAATTCTATGGTTACCCTCATCCTTCATAAACCCTTCCACTGACAAGTCAACTCCCAAATATCTGAAAACATTCATTTCTTCCATCCATACTCCCTCTCTCCAATGTGATATCCAATTTTTCTTTATTTAAATCATTTGATACCCTCATCACCTTACTCTTATCTATGTTCACTTTCAACTTTCTACCTTTACACACCCTCCCAAACTTGTCTACTAACCTTTGCAACTTTTCTTTAGAATCTCCCATAAGCTGTTTCTTATAATAATATAAGAATAACCAACTGCATTTTAATATTTTTTTAGATACATGTACTGTATTAGTTTTGAATTTTAATTCCCTGTTAAAGTAACTCTCCCAAATATTTTATTATCCCTTAACCATTAAGCCATTATTACAAACTTAAAAATGTATGTTTGTATCATAAATTGTACTACCTCATATTAATAATAAAGTAAAATATTGAATATTTGTAATCTACCACTCTACACCTGTCTAGACTTAAGTAGTCTTCAAGTATTAGATTGAGTCTGCCTGAAATGCCTCGGCATGATTGTGGCTTTCTTTGTACCAATCAGATTATGAAATGTAAACACATATTGTAACCTTAACAAAGAAATAAAGTTTTGATTTTGATATTAATTGCTACATAGGCTGTCTAGTGTTTATATTATTGTGTTGGTTATACTTTTTTTTAGGCCTGAATCCAAATGAGGAAAGCACTGCTATATTGTGCCAGGTTATGTATGAGTACAGTTGTTTGTGAGAACTCTTCAGCAGTGTGAGAGATGAGCTCTTAGCTCTAACAACCTACCCTCACTGTATCATACAATGCAGAAGAAAACTTATTCACACAGGAATGTGCTCTAATTAACCACATTCTAAACACATTCCCAATACGTACTGCATTCTTGTCAAACCTGCATTTGCTTTCTTCAGCTGTTATGTCAGTCAATTTATGGCTGACAGCCATCAAAAGTTAAGGGATATAATTGGGCACACATTTTTAGAGTAAAAAATTCAACAATTTTTTTTAAACACATTGGAACAAGGAAAAATATTCACCATCACTCAATCAAAGCTGCCTTGGCAGAAATGCACACACATAACAATTCAAATAGCTCTTTGAACTGCAACATCCCCACCTCTCCTTCAGACTGCAGGCACTGTACTTCCGATCTTCAGGACTTGAGGTAAGTCAAGTTTACCAGTTTCCCTGAATTCCAGTCAACCAATGAACTGGTAAAGTATGTAAATGCATGTGAGATGCATAACAATTCCACTATCTGCAACAGACTAACATATCAACACTCAAAACAACTCACCATTTCTAAACTTGAAGAGCTTGTCCCTATACTTTTGATTTGAATTGAGGAAGTAAATTTCTTCTCGTCCATCTCCATCAACATCACAGGCACACACACCAACGGCATTACCTGCTACATCCCTCAGTGCATAGTATGGGCTAGATGGATCGTCTACTGCTATATTTTCTAACTTCTTCTTTGACTTGTTATATTTAAGAACCAAATTTGGGCCAGCAAATCTGAAAATGTATGGGAATGAAATACTAAGTACAGATTCTTTTTTATTTTATAGTGTAACTTAACAATTAAGTAAAATTAAACAAAATATTTACAGTGAATTATATATTTTTCAGTAATTTTTATGTAAATCCTGAGTGGAATTCAACAGATACAAAATAAGTGACTGACCCAGCTACAATAAGTTCCAGCTGGCCATCATTGTCCACATCTGTAACTGCCAGTCCATAGCAGAGTTGAACAGTATCATACTGAACTTGTCTGCAGCATGCAAACAGAGAAATCTAATTACAAAATTATTTTTTGTATAAACTTTTACAATGGTTATGAGGGCACATATATGTTGTGGATATACTGTACATATAAAGTATATTAGCTAAATTTAATCTAGGATAACTTTATTAGGTAAAACAGTATGACATATCTTTTGTATAGTATCTAATGAGGGGAAAAAAGAACTGTACCAGTTTTAAATTGTCTAATTTCCTTCTTAACTCTTAAACTGTTGCCTGTGGTCACCTTTGTTTTCCTTTATCATATGATAAAGAATTCATATAGTATAAAAAACATAAAGACATCAACCAAACTACCTGTGTGAAAAGACACTAGTGTAGTACATAATTGGAATCTAGTTACATAGGTGGATCATAATGGGAAATTTCACAATGAAAAAGGGAGATACAGTATTTCTGAACAATAGCACATACACTGTAACAGTGAATAATATACATAGGATTACTGGTCAAATTTTTTTAAGGTACCTATTCTAGGATATCCAAGGATTAAGAGCCTTGATGCTAGTAAAGGTTCTCAAGCCAAGCAATTGGAGTTCCTCTCTCTCTCTCTCAGCTCAATCCTGATTACTTCCCATTTTCCAGAATCTGTATAATAAGGGGCTGGGGGTTTCTTCACATACAGTGCTCATCATTAACGTATGCTGGGTGCCTCCATCTGGCTTGTGTGGTTGATGGATGTGTGTTTGAGGTTTTGAGTACTGAGTTACCTGGAGTTTACCTGGAGAGAGTTCCGGGGGTCAACGCCCCCGCAGCCCGGTCTGTGACACAAGAAACAATTACACATAAAGCAGGCCATCAAATGAAGGAAATAGTTGAAGCCATCGGCGTGTGTGTGTTCAATAAGGAACTAGTTGTGTTGGTTTCATCGGTTCTGTGAGGCAGTGCTGATGACATGTCCACACCAAAATCACATCCAGGGAACCCTAGCAAAATACCATCTATATTAACTGTAATATACAGCTTGAGACCAAACCAAGAATGACTGCATAGGGGATTAAAAAAAAAGAATCAAGAACTTCTTCATAATGTGTCTAGAACTGTTAACAGGCATGTGAAAGAACTTGGTTACAGTGTGTTGACCTATCCAGAAACCAATTCTTGACCTTGTGCATGGAGAGCATACAGCTGTGTCTTCAAAGAAATACCAAACATAGACCAAGGAACAATAGAGTGAGGTAAATAAATAACAAAAAGGCACAATACCGTGACTGGAACGATACACAAATAACCCGCACATTGACTTTGTCAATGGTCCAAGTCGGACCGAAACGTCGTCGTAAGCTTCTGTCTTTTATGTGCGGGTTATTTGTGTATTGTGAATAGAGTGAGGTTTTTGGAGTGATAAAGTCACTTTCACTTTGACCTATAACTGTCATGGGATCATTTACAGACACCCCAGTAGCCACCCCTTAGACCAATGCTCCACCCATTGTACCCCAAAACACTGTGAATCTCTAATAGTTTGGGCTTGTTTTAGGGCTAAAAGCGTTGGTAAGTTAATTGTGCTACCCAAAAATCAACATATGAATCGGTGCAACCACATAGAACTGTTCTGTGATCATTTGCCCAAATTTTTCACTCAGTGTGATGGAAAAATTTTTATGAATGATGGTTCTTCTTGCCACAACACTAAATCAATTGTTCAGTAGCTTCCTAACTGTGAAGTACCCTTCTTTGATGGCAGACCAGGAAAATGCCCAGACTTGAACCTCACTGAGAACCTCTGGGCTGTGATAGAAACATACAGGGGAAGGACATCAGCTCACTCCCACAGCTGAAGGTCACCCTCTGTGAGTCATTGGAGAATTTGCCCAAGAAACCCTCATGAATTTATGTGAATCAGTTCCTAGATGTTGAAGGATGTCCTAAAGTGCAAGGAACAACTTACAAAATACAAATCGTATGAGGTACACTGCAATATATTTTTTTTATTTCTTTGCAGGAGGGCCCCACTTTACAGTGTTACATTAATGCAGCAATTTTCAATTATACCCATTCTTCATTTATTAAGACTTCCTACAATAAATATATTCACCACTCACTATAATCTAAGGATGAAAATATTTTAAGGTAAGTATTATATGTAATTCACGTGCATTTTTTAGACCTAGCTCTATTGCTCACTAAATATATGATAGTGTAAACATGTTATCAGCTTTTATATGCATTTGAAAGTGAAAAAAGGCTGTTTCACTTTACAGTGATTTTTTTGCTTTACAGCAGTAGCTCAGAACCTAACCTGCTGTATAAGCGGGGCCCTCCTGTATTTCGTGATGGTGGTTTTAAGGGGGGGGGGATGAATAAACTTTAATGATGAGCACTGCATGTAATTATGATAATTAACTTATAGTGACCATCAAAGATGGATAATCTGATTCATTTTGATTGGAGTAGCCCAGTTAGATTTGACCCACAACAGCCAGTTAACACCAATGTCCTTGATTTTGCTAGGCAAGTAGATTCAGTAGGTGTAAGAAGACTTGGTTAATGTCATGCCTCATTAAAGAATCCTTTAAGTGTCATTTTTCTTGGGAACTGAAAGTGCTGCCACTGAGCTACAGGTCACCTTTCAGATATTGATAATAAGCATTAGTTACTTATTATGGCATCATCAGAAATAGTTGTCAGTGTTGGTTTAATCATGGCAGCAAAGCAAATGATGCTGTACCAAAGAAATTTACTTAAAAATCATATTTAAATTTATGTATTCTTAGATCTAGCTTTGTGTGCAACAATTTCTACTAAAGTCAGCTGACTTACAACTCTCCCTGCATTGGAAAGGATGTGAAAGCCTACAAAAACCTTTACACATACCAGTAGTGTACACAGATAACTCGCACATAGGAGAGAGGAGCTTACAACGACATTTCGGTCTGGCTTGGACCATTTACAAAGTCACACTAACAAAAGGAGAGAAGGAGGGATTATATATAGGCCAGCAGACAGGGACAGGACAAGAGAGGTAGTAGGAAAGGAAGAAAAGTAGTGGTAGAGGTAGTAGTAGAAGTAGTGGAGTCAGTCAAAGACTAAGAAAGATGAGCACTGGGAGGGAGCTAGGGGCCTACAAGGGTAGGAACAGAAACACAGAGAGGAAAAAATAATAATGGACCAAAAAATCCCAAAGCAGAAGAAAGAAAACCCAAAGGAGAAAGAGGAAAGAAGGAGAAGGGGGAAGAAGCACCAGGTTAAGTCACAGGTGTTCGGATGTTTGGAGCATTTTGCAATGTAATGGGAAAGGAAGGCATCTACAGAGACAAAGCCAGGACTAAGATTCATACAAAGAAAGTTGTGTATAAGGTAGGATTTAACCTGACTGCAACTATGAAAGTTAGACATACGGTAGACAATTTTAGCAGAAGACCTGTCAATAGGATGACTGTGATCTCTGACATGACAGAAAAGAGCATTGTTGGTGTCAGCAAGCCTAACACTACTTTTGTGCTCCCTGAGTCTATCAGAGAATGGCCAGTTTCTCCAAAGTACTGAAGAGGACAAGAGGAACAAGAAATAGAGCAGACACCAGGAGAATCTATAGAGGGAGGAGAGGTATGAACTAGATTGGTGCAAAGAGTGTTAGTCTGGCAAAAAGTAAGTTTGATGTTTAGGGAATGGAGAGGGTTATTGAGATTAGAAAGACTGGAAATACAGTGGACCCCCGGTTCGGTATCGGTCATCGGTATCCGATAAATCCGGTATCCGAAGCATTATATCGCAAAAAAATTGCCTCAGTTCCTGTTACAAAACCCGGTATGCGATACGATTCGTACGAGACGTGTCCACGTGTGGCCTGAACTGCCCTGTGTGTGCCAGTGTTTACAAGCCAGCCAGTGTGTGCGCATCTAAGGATACATTCGGTACATTCCATATTATCCATATTATCACTGTTTTTGGTGCTTGTTTCTTCAAAATAAGTCACCATGGCCCCCAAGAAAGCTTCTAGTGCCAACCCATCGAGACCAAAGGTGCTAATGACTATTGAAATGAAGAAAGAGATAATTGCAAAGTATGAAAGTGGAGTGCGTGTGTCGGACCTGGCCAGGTTGTATAGTAAATCCCAATCAACCATCTCTACTATAGTGAGCAGGAAAACGACAATCAAGGAAGCTGTTCTTGCAAAAGGTGCAACTGTGATTACAAAACAACGATTCCCCTTCTAAACATTAAAAACTTCAACACTCTCCCCTCCTTCCATCCCATCAATCATCACCAGATCTTCATTAAAGGTAAGTGTCAATTATTCTATTGTGATTATTCTATTGTTATTATTGTTATTGTAATTATTCTATTGCATTAAACTTAATATTTCATGTGATAAAAGTTTTTTTTTTCATACTTTTGGGTGTCTTGCACGGATTAATTTGATTTCCATTATTTCTTATGGGGAAAATTGATTCGCTTTCCGATAATTTTGCTTTACGATGAGCTCTCAGGAACGGATTAATAACGTGAACCAGGAGTCCACTGTATAGGGAAGGCAGAGGACAGGAGAGTTCCCACGAGTAGAGAGTTTCGGAGAGAAGAAAGGCCGTTTAGCACATGAGAAAGCAGAGTCAATGAAATGGGAAGGGTAGCCAAGACCAGAAAATGAATTATGAAGAGTGCAAATTTCTGAATCATAGAACTGAGGATCACAAATGCGGAAAGCATGGAGAAAGAGAGAGATGAGAACACTTTTCTTGACAAAAGAAGCATGATAAGAAAAGTAGTGAATGTTCTTGCCACTGAGCATAGGCTTGCAGTACACAGAAAAAGTAAAACCTGTATTTGAACGGTGGACATGAGCATCAAGGAAAGGAAGCAAGGAGTTAGATTCCCATTCAGCTTTAAACTTAATGGAAGGGGCAAGATTATTAAGGGCATCAAGAAATGGTTGAAAGAGACCAGACATGAGGCCAAAGAGCAAAGATGTCATCTACATAGCGGAGCCAGAGTGACGGGCGCACATCAGTAGTAGGAAGAAGAATAGTCTCAAAGTATTCCATGTAGAGATTAGCAAGAACAGGAGATAGAGGAGAGCCCATAGCAGCACCGAAGGTTTGAGAATAATATTTGCCTTGGAAGAAAGAGGAATTTGAGTCCACACAAATTCCTTTTTCTTCCAAGGCAAATATTCTCAAACCTTCGGTGTTGCTATGGGCTCTCCTCTATCTCCTGTTCTTGCTTGCTGTTCTTGTGGGCCCCTACCTCCCTTGCAGTGCTCCTCTTTCTTAGTCTTTGACTGGCTCCATTGCTGCTACTACTACCTCTACCACTACTTTTCTTCCTTTCCTATTACTACTGTACATTTATATGTGGGGTATGTATACCTGGCTGTCAATAAGACTTCATGTCCCAGATGCCCATTAAGTAATCCATATATTGCATGTAAAACCTCAATACTGTACATAAATGAATTATTAAAGGAATTTACACCCTACAATATACTGTATATTAATATTTATATATGTTAATATTTACCTAAGTGATAGGCTGGTAGACAGCATCCACCCAGGGAGGTACTACCATCCTGCTAAGTGTGTGTGAAAAGGAAACCTCTACATTGTTTTACATGATGGTAGGATTCCTGGTGTCTTTTTTTCTGTCTCATAAATGAGCTGGATACCATATATATCTTGCTACTTCTACTTGCACTTAATTCACACTGCACATAGTTGAAGACAAAGATGATTCACAGGGATGTTAGAAAGTATTTCTTCAGTCACAGAGAAGTCAGGAAGTGGAATAGTTTGGGAAGCGATGTAGTGGAGGCAGGATCCATTCATAGCTTTAAGAAGAGGTATGAAAAAACTCATGGTTCAGGGAGAGTGACCCAGTAGTGGCCAGTGTAAAGAGGCAGGGCCAGGAGCTATGACTTGACCCTTGCAACCACAACTATGTATATACAGTGGACCCCCGGTTAACGATATTTTTTCACTCCAGAAGTATGTTCAGGTGCCAGTACTGACCGAATTTGTTCCCATAAGGAATATTGTGAAGTAGATTAGTCCATTTCAGACCCCCAAACATACAGGTACAAACGCACTTACATAAATACACTTACATAATTGGTCGCATTCGGAGGTAATCGTTATGCGGGGGTCCACTGTAAATGCACAAACTCATCTTGGTTTTCTTCTATGTATTTTCTTAATAATTCTTGTTCTTATTTCCTTTTATCTCCATGGGTAAAATGGAACAGAATTCATCCACAGTAAGTCATGAATGTCGTAAGAGGTGACTAAAATGCCAGGAGCAAGGGCTAGTAACCCCTTCTCCTGTATAAATTACTAAATTTTAAAAGAGAAACTTTCATTTTTCCTTTTAGGTCACCCCTGCCTCAGTGGGATACAGCCAGTTTGTTGAAAAAAAAATAATATTTAAATCTATAGATAGTCCTACACAGATTTCTATAAATGCCTTTACCTTTATGGGTTTAGCACATAATTATGATAATAATAATAATAATAATAATATGTCTTTGATTATGATTCTGATTTTAATAAGAGTGATGCAATATACAGTAAAAATATATGAATACCAAATTACATACATGTAAATACTGTACAGTATTTTCTCCCTTTGTTAATAAATATTATGTACATGAATCTCACAAGAAAAATTTAAATACTTACCTGTATATTTGCTGAGTTATGTCTTGGAACATAATGTTGATTGCAACATGAAGAGTACAGTCTGGCAGTGGGCCTCAGGAAATGCTTAGCTGGAGAGGGCAATAGCTCAGGGTAGCCAGGTGGATGAATTAAGAACTCTCAAATTTCAAATGCTTCCTACTCACATCCTACCCACCTCTGTCAAGTACATATTGTACATATGTGTAAAATGAGGACAAGGTTAACATTGATTGTATTACAAAATTATTGTTGTTGATTTTGGTATTGTTGTTGTTTTTGTTTAAAAATTACAAGGAATAAGCCTGGTTGAGTATACCAGGCATAGTGTATGGTACATTATTATTATTATAATCAAGGGGGAAGCGCTAAACCCGGAGGATTATACAACGCCTGGGGGGGATGTGGAAGGCATTCAGGCTTAATTCGGAACTGGAGCATAGATCCAATTCCCTAAATCAAGAACCCCTCACCAACATCAAGGAACCTTCCTTGAGGGGAGTGTATGGTACAATACTTAGTTAACCCTTTGACTGTCGCAACCCCCAATCCTGAGGTGTCTCCTGGTGTCGCAAAATTTAAAAAAAAAAAATTATTTTATGAAATGATAGAGAATCTTTTCCCGATTGTAATGACACCAAAAAGACGAAATTTGATGGAAAACTGATGGAATTATGCTCTCGCGAAGTTAGCGACCTCGGCGCTGTTTACAAATCGGCGATTTCGCCCACTTTGAGCCCTATTTTCGACTAATTCCATTGTTCCAGTCGCCCAAGCTCATAGCTATTTCTTTAGAACTCCATTTTTTCTATTGATTGAGTACAAGAAACTGCCCAATTACCTATTTCAACTACCTAATAATGTGGTCAGAAATTTGCAATTTGGCCAATTTCACGAAAACTAAAAAATATGACAATTTCAAAATAAGGTCCAGAATGAACAATGCAGACATTCCTGGCTCTAAAATATTTTATTTGCTCATCAGTCATGTCTCCAGGCCCCTCTGATTTCGATTTTGAATTTTTATTCAAACAAAAAATAGAAGACTTACTATTATGCAGACTACTGCAATACTGTAACAATTGTATAAATAACATCAACCCATTCATGACTGCATAGTAGAATGGCTAGTTGGACATTTATTGGACAATGGCATCATTTGTTTACTTTTGAACATTGGCAAAAATCAAACATTTCCCCTACTTTGAGCTCCATTTCTAGGTTCTTTTTATAGTAAAATCAATCAAAATCACCTCTATTTCTATAATATGTTTTCCATTCTATCAAATGAGACCAAGAAAACGAGAATACAACCATAAATACTATACGAAAATAGACCACAAAGTCGGCATTTTAATTAAAAAAATCGGTCGGAGTTTTTTTTTTCTCATTATGCACTGAGTGCTCCAGGATTTTTTTTATATGGTGCACACTGATCACACAGACCCATTCTCTCACATGTGGGCCTACCAGCTTTCTCCTGCTTGATTTGAAGCCGCTAGAATTTATGAGTATATATACGTCAAACACGGTACCTCGTAAGACGTATATATACGGCCGCGACAGTCAAAGGGTTAAGGGTAAAACAGAAAATAGGATTGTAGAGAAAGGAGGATTTAGAAATGGTAGAAGATGTGTAGTCCAGGTGTTAACAATAAGGCATTTAGGTACACAAAGTTTAAAGTAACTGTTTGTTACATTTATGGATTTAGAAAAAAAAACATGAAGGAGAGGGAGGGGAGCAACATAGCAGATGTTGCAAATGTATGGAATGGACAGGAGATTACTGAAAGCAGTAAAGTGTTTTTATGCAATTAATGAGGCTCTGGTTAGGGTATGTAGGAGAGAGGGAGGACCATTTTCCAGTAAAAGTAGGCCTAAGACAGAGATGTGTCATGTTACTACAGTTTTTAACCCTTTGACTGTTGCAACCCCAAATCCTGAAGTCTTCTGGTGTCGTAAAATATTTGAAAAAAAAAATTCCTATGAAATGATAAAGACTCTTTTCCCAATGATAATGACACCAAAAGTACCAAATTTGATGGAAAACTTACAGAATTACGCTCTCGCGAAGTTAGCGACCTCGGCGACATTTACTCATCGGCGATTTTGCCCACTTTGAGCCCTATTTTCGGCCAATTCCATTGTTCCACTCCATCGAACTCATAGCTATTTCTTTAGAACTCCATTTGTTCTATCAATTGAGTACAAGAACCTGCCCATTTACCAATTTCAAGTACCCAATAAAGTGGTCAGAAATTGGCAATTTGGCCAATTTCATGCAAATTAAAAAATAGTATGTCAATTTCAAAATAAGAGTCCAGAATGAACAATGCAGACATTCCTGGCACTAAAATAACATTTTCTCTGTTCATCAGTCACGTCTCCAGGCCCCTGTTATAATACTCTTGCTTTCTATTTTGAATTTTTATTCACACAAAAAATAGAAGATTTACTGTTATGCAGACTACTGCAATATTGTAATAATTGTATAAATAACGTCATCCCATTCGTGACTGCGTATTAGAATGGCTAGTTGGACAGGTTTTCATTTGTTTACTCTTGAACATCAGCAAAAATCGAACATTTCTGCCACTTTGAGCTCCATTTCAAGATCCTTTTCATAGTTAAACCAATCAAAATCACCTCTATTTCTATAATGTGTTTTTCATTCTATCAAATGAGACCAAGAAAACAAGAATACAACCATAAATACTATACAAAAATACACCTCAAAGTCGGCCGTTTTAATCCAAAAACACGGAGTTTTTTTTCTTATGCACTGTGTGCTGTAGGATATTTTTTATACTGTGCACACTGACCACACAGACCCATTCTCTCACATGTGGGCCTACCAGCTTTCTCTTGCTTGATTTGAAGCTGCTAGAATTTTTGAGTATATATATGTCAAACACATTGGCTCATAGGACGTATATATACGACCAAAACAAGTCAAAGCGTTAACATATTTATAGATGGGGTTGTAAAACAAGCAAGTGCTAGGATGTTGCGAAAGATGTGGGATAGTGAATTTGATAAAAGGTGGGAACTGTCACAGTAACTCTGCAAATAGCAGCTCTTTTAGGAGATTTTGAAGATGTGTGACGAAACACTTACGACATTTTATTGTGGAAACAATTTGGTCCTGGAACCTTATTGACCTCAAATGTTTGAAGTGAATAAGGTCCCAGGACTGAAACATTTCCATATACTGTACCAGGTTTTCACTAAATTATGAAGTGAAGCTGCAAAGACTGGTGGATGAATTTGGGAGGATATGTAAAAAAATAAGTTTATTGAGTATACCAGGAAAAGTGTATGGTAGGGTTATTATTGAAAGAATTAGAGGTATGACAGAATGTAGAATTGCGGATGAGCAAGGAGGTTTCAGAGTGGGTAGGGGATGTGTAGATCAAGTGTTTACATTGAAGCATATATGTGAACAGTATTTAGATAAAGGTAGGGAAGTTTTTATTGCATTTATGGATTTAGAAAAGGCATATGATAGAGTGGATAGGGGAGCAATGTGGCAGATGTTGCAAGTACAGTGGACCCCCGGTTAACGATATTTTTTCACTCCAGAAGTATGTTCAGGTGCCAGTACTGACCGAATTTGTTCCCATAAGAAATATTGTGAAGTAGATTAGTCCATTTCAGACCCCCAAACATACACGTACAAACGCACTTACATAAATACACTTACATAATTGGTCACATTCGGAGGTAATCGTTATGCGGGGGTCCACTGTATATGGAATAGGTGGTACGTTACTAAATGCTGTAAGGAGTTTTTATGAGGATAGTGAGGCTCAGGTTAGGGTGTGTAGAAGAGAGGGAGACTACTTCCCGGTAAAAGTAGGTCTTAGACAGGGATGTGTAATGTCACCATGGTTGTTTAATATATTTATAGATGGGGTTGTAAAAGAAGTAAATGATAGGGTGTTCAGGAGAGGGGTGGGATTAAATTATGGGGAATTAAATACAAAATGGGAAGTGACACTGTTACTTTTTGCTGATGATATTGTGCTTATGGGAGATTCTAAAGAAAAATTGCGAAGGTTAGTGGATGAATTTGGGAATGTGTGTAAAGGTAGAAAGTTGAAAGTGAACATAGAAAAGAGTAAGGTGATGAGGGTATCGAATTATTTAGATAAAGAAAAATTGGATATCAAATTGGGGAGGAGGAGTATGGAAGAAGTAAATCTTTTCAGATATTTGGGAGTTGACATGTCGGCGGATGGATTTATGAAGGATGAGGTTAATCATAGAATTGATGAAGGAAAAAAGGTGAGTGTTGCGTTGAGGTATATGTGGAGTCAAAAAACGTTATCTATGGAGGCAAAGAAGGGAATGTATGAAAGTATAGTAGTACCAACACTCTTATATGGGTGTGAAGCTTGGGTTGTAAATGCAGCAGCGAGGAGACGGTTGGAGGCAGTGGAGATGTCCTGTCTAAGGGCAATGTGTGGTGTAAATATTATGCAGAAAATTTGGAGTGTGGAAATTAGGAGAAGGTGTGGAGTTAATAAAAGCATTAGTCAGAGGGCTGAAGAGGGGTTGTTGAGGTGGTTTGGTCATTTAGAGAGAATGGATCAAAGTAGAACGACATGGAGAGCATTTAAATCTGTGGGAGAAGGAAGGCGGGGTAGGGGTCGTCCTCGAAAAGGTTGGAAGGAAGGGGTAAGGGAGGTTTTGTGGGCAAGGGGCTTGGACTTCCAGCAGGCGTGCATGAGCGTGTTCGATAGGAGTGAATGGAGACGAATGGTATTTGGGACTTGACGATTTGTTGGAGTGTGAGCAGGGTAATATTTAGTGAAGGGATTCAGGGAAACTGGTTATTTTTATATAGCCGGACTTGAGTCCTGGAAATGGGAAGTACAATGCCTGCACTCTAAAGGAGGGGTTTTGGGATATTAGCAGTTTGGAGGGATATGTTGTGTATCTTTATACGTATATGCTTCTAAACTGTTGTGTTCTGAGCACCTCTGTAAAAACAGTGATTTGTGTGAGTGAGGTGAAAGCATTGAATGATGATGAAAGTATTTTCTTTTTGGGGATTTTCTTTCTTTTTGGGTCACCCTGCCTCGGTGGGAGATGGCCGACTTGTTGAAAAAAAAAAATGTAAAAAAAAAAATAAAAAAGGAAATTAAGAGCAAGGTGAGAGTAAGATAAGATAAGATAAGATTTCGTTCGGATTTTTAACCCCGGAGGGTTAGCCACCCAGGATAACCCAAGAAAGTCAGTGCATCATCGAGGACTGTCTAACTTATTTCCATTGGGGTCCTTAATCTTGTCCCCCAGGATGCGACCCACACTAGTCGACTAACACCCAGGTACCTATTTGCTGCTATAGATTCCCCAGTGGAAGTAGGTCCTTCCCAAAGAGATGTAGTAGTTGTCGTAGTTGTGAAGGTTATGTCAGACACTGCAACATCATGGAATCTTAATTCTGAGGACATGTACATAACCTTCACGACTACGACAACTACTACTACAACTAACCCATCTCTTTGGGAAGGACCTACTTCCACTGGGGAATCCCGCCTACCAGTGAATATGCCCTCGTCTGCTACACCTGACGTTACTATATAAGCGCCAGGATTCTTTCTTCTGCTTCAGAATCTCCACGACTATGGTGCTGTTCGCACCTACTCCTAGGTTGAGGGACTGATTACCTCATCTTCTGTACATAGTTCTACTGTCTTCAAGTTATGTCCTAGAATTTGTATTGATAAAGCCACTGGATGGCGAAACATCTACAATAAAGATACCCAGATGTTGCACATGTGTCTTACTCTCATCTTGTCGGTATTATATACCATTCGTACACAACTTGTCAGACACTGCAACATCATGGAATCTTAATTCTGAGGACATGTACATAACCTTCACGACTACGACAACTACTACTACAACTAACCCATCTCTTTGGGAAGGACCTACTTCCACTGGGGAATCCCGCCTACCAGTGAATATGCCCTCGTCTGCTACACCTGACGTTACTATATAAGCGCCAGGATTCTTTCTTCTGCTTCAGAATCTCCACGACTATGGTGCTGTTCGCACCTACTCCTAGGTTGAGGGACTGATTACCTCATCTTCTGTACATAGTTCTACTGTCTTCAAGTTATGTCCTAGAATTTGTATTGATAAAGCCACTGGATGGCGAAACGTCTACAATAAAGATACCCAGATGTTGCACATGTGTCTTACTCTCATCTTGTCGGTATTATATACCATTCGTACACATAAACCACAGATAGATGAAGGGGGTTAAAGAGGTAGTTTGGGTGTTGTGGCATTTGTGGATATTAACAAGTTTATCTGTGGAGGCAAAAAATAAAAATGCACCAGAGTATACACAGTGATACAAACACTTTTATAAGAGTGTGAGGGATAGGTTTTAAAAACTACAGTGAGGAGGAGGCTGGAGGCAGTGAAGATGTCACATTTTATATATTTACTACAGGTACATGTACATGGTATACAGACCTAGCTAACATCAATGACGTACTTCCACATAGAAAGCCGCTTGTTATGCTGAGCATTTCGGGCAAGTTAAGTTAGTTTTTTCCCAGGATGTGACCCACACCAATCGACTAACACCCAGGTACCCATTTTAAATTGATGAGTGAACAGGGAGAGCAGGTGGCTTATGGAAACACGTCCCAAATGTTTTCCAGCCGTACTGGAGGAGATTTGAACTCCGGACCTAAGTGTGTGAGCTGAGTGCACTAGTGATCGAGCTACAGGACACCTTTTGAGAGCAATATGTAGTGTGAATATTATGCAGCAAATCTGGAGTGTAAAAATTAAATGGCACGGGTTATGAAAGGTATAATTCAGAGGATTGAGGAGGGGATGTTGACTTGATTTCGGTATTTACAGATGATAGATGAATTATTATTACTGTCATCGTCATCATCATCATCATCATCAATCATCATCATCAATCATCATCAATCATCATCAATCATCATCAGTCATCATCAGTCATCATCATCCATCAATCATCATCCATCAATCATCATCATCTGGAAGCACTAAAGAGTCAGTGATGTGAATATCAAAATGGTATACTACAATACTGACAGGTTGGTAGGTAAGATACATATGCAACATTTAGGCAACTTTATTCCGAAACGTTTCGCCTACACAGTAGGCCTCTTCAGTCGAGTACAGAAAGTAGGCAGGAGCAGTAGAGATGTGAAGACGATGTAATCAGTCCATCACCCTTGAAGTCGTAGATTTGAGGTTGTCAGTCCCTCAGCCTGGAGAAGTTCTGTTCCAAAGTCTGGAACTAACTGAAGATCAAGAGACACTGTTGAGACTTGAATACTGTCAGAAGGAGAGGTGCAGAGTAGTAGTAGTGAGAATGTAGCCACTGAGAGGTCACGTCCCTCTTGGATCAAACAGTTCTCACTTGAAAAAGTTGTCCAAGGTGTTTTCTCTTCTGTACCAAGATGCCATTGTGTTGCAGTGTGTGACAGAGTGACTATCAAAATGGTATACAATACCGACAGGTTAGTAGGTAAGACACATAGGCAACATTTAGACAACTTTATTCCGAAACGTTTCGCCTACACAGGTGTGTAGGCTTCTTCAGTCGAGTACAGAAAGTAGGCAGGAGCAGTAGAGATGTGAATCTATGACTTCAAGGGTGATGGACTGATTACATTGTCTTCACATCTCTACTGCTCCTGCCTACTTTCTGTACTCGACTGAAGAAGCCTACTGTGTAAGTGAAACGTTTCGGAATAAAGTTGCCTAAATGTTGCCTATGTGTCTTACCTACAAATGAGTCAGTGATGTATATGTCATTAACAAGTCATCGAATGGTCAGGAAATATCTCCAATATTTTGCTACTGGCAAAGAGTTCATTAATTTATAAATTTACTAAGAATATTAGTAAGCACTACCTTAAACTAAAGTAACCTAAACTATGTAGTTTGATAGCTCTTAGGTAGGATAATTTAGGATATCTTGCAAGAGTTGGATAACCATAGGAAACTTTAATAATGAATTTAAGTACATGAGTGAGAAGGGTTGGATGTGTGTGAGACATGCATAGCATGTTTAAAACATTATTGTAACTAATCATTGGGTAACTTTAAAAAGTTGAAAAAAATATTGGAATGGAAAGGGTTGAATCTAAGAACTTGCCATGTATGGCCAGTAAGCCCATACATAGCAGTATCTCAATTTTCATAGTTTTAAGTAACTCGTGGATATAGTTTAACAAGTAATTTCAAACCAACTGCTGGGATATCTCTCTGATGTCAGTGATTTGAAAAGTCGGTGACTTCCCAAGGCATTGCTCTAAACATGTAAGAGTCATGCACTGAAAGGTAAATGGAATAGAATTGGGTTTCATCCACAGAAGAGGAGGATTAGTCTAATTCCCTGGATCAAAGTGCCTCTCTAAGAGGGAGACACTGCAGGTTTAACCTAAGATATCACAATAGTCAAATAATATGACACTTCATTTGGGCTAATCATGACATATCAACTAAGCATATTTTTAGTGATACTGACTAATACTGAGTATAGGGGCTCCAGTTTTTTTTATTATGCAAATTTCTCAATATTAAGTGGGTTCTACTGCAATGGAGACAGTTATACTTTTGGTCTATGGAAAGATTTTTTTTTTCCAATAGTCAGAAAAAAGTAACCCAGCCTAACCTTGAACTTACTATTAAATTTAGGTTAGTTTTGGTTAGGCACGAAATTTAACTATCTCCATGAACAGTCTACTCCTGTCAGTGGAGGTTTCTTGTAGCCAGTGAGGGGCTCTTGATGAGAGGAATAGGACCTGCTGTCCTCCTCCTTGGATTGAGCCTGAATGTCTTCCATTCCCCAGGCACTATATAACCCATAAAGGATAAGCGCTCCCCTCCTAATAATAATGCACAATCCACTAGATATGGTTAACACTGTGCTCAAAATGGAGCCCCTAAACTCAGTCGTATCTTTATTTACTACAAGTACATGTACAAGGCATACAGTCCTAGCTGACATCAGTGACATACTCCTATATAGAAAGCCCCTTATTATGCAGAGCATATCGGGCAAATTAGGTCAGTTTTGTCCCAGGATGCGACCCACACCAGTCGACTAACACCCGGGTAGCCATTTTGAACTGATGGGTGAACAGGGACAGCAGATGGCTTATGGAAACACGTCCCTAATGTTTTCCAGCCTTACCAGAGAAGATTCAAACTCCGGACCTCAGCATGTGAGCTGAGTGCTCCGGCGATCGAGCTACGGGACAGTAATAATCTTTGTTATAACATTTTAATATGATAAAATATGAATACAAATTAATTTACATTTAAAGCAATATATGAATATGATGCTAATGTTGTTGTTGTTGGGGTTTATAAGGCCACTGACAGCTATGATTCTAATCTTGAGATAAATCTTTCTTAGTGTTGATGGTAGTTTACAGGGCCACTGGCAGCTGACACCGTATGTTGGTGGTGTTGTGGGAGTTGGTCGAGACGCCAAAATGCATGCTTTATTGAGCCCTGCCTCCTGGGAATCCAGGGAAAAAATGTTTCCTAGGTAAGGGCGAGATTTAGAAAGGAAACAAAGTTTCCTCTGAAAAGAGAAACGGGAGCACGAAATTCCCAAGTTAGATCAAGTGGAACGCCAGTCTAAACACCGGCAAAGCCAAGCATTTTACTCCATGCTAGGTAAAAGGACACAAGTGCAACTAATGTGACATTTTATTAAAAAAATAAAATTAAAATTCTTTATTTCTCTATTGATATTACAATGTGGGGTTTACTTATTATAAAATATTATTGCATATTATAAATTATTTATTACAAAGAAGGCCACTAGTATGGCTAGGTATGTGGAAAAAGACACTTATGTACAGTTCAGGACATTTATTAAAGGAAACGTTTCGCCACTAGTGGCTTCTTCAGTCCTTAGGACTGAAGAAGCCACTCGTGGCGAAACGTTTCCTTTAATAAATGTCCTGAACTGTACATAAGTGTCTTTTTCCACATCTTGTCGGTATCACCATACCATTTCCTCATGCCTAGGTATGCATAGGCACTTCGGGCAGGCTAATACTATTTCTTACTCTATATTGGCACAGGTTATGGATCATACTGGTATTAAAGTGACAAAGCTCTTGGCCCTGTGGCCTGGCTGGCAAAGCTCTCGCTTCACACACGAAGTGCCCGGGTTCGATTCCCGGCGGGGTAGAAACATTTCGATGCTTTTTCTTGGAAATATAAACACACATGCAGTATAATGTGATCCTTTATTGACTACGTTTCGCCCACACAGTGGGCTTTTTTCAAGTCACAAACAGTTCTGTTTGTGACTTGTAAAAAAAGCCCACTGTGTGGGCGAAACGTAGTCAATAAAGGATCACATTATACTGCATATGTGTTTATATTTCCATTGTGTCGGTATTTTATACCATTTATTTTCATGCTTTTTCTTACACCTGTTGTCCTGTTCACCTGGCAGCAAGTAGGTACTTGGGTGTTAGTCGACTGGTATGGGTCACATCCTGGGGGGAAAAGATTGAGGACCCCATTGGAAATAATACCTTTATATACTACAAGTACATGTACAAGGTATACAGGCCTAGCTGACATCAATGGCATACAGGAGGCCTGGTCACAGACCGGGCCGCGGGGGCGTTGACCCCCGGAACTCTCTCCAGGTAAACTACTACATAGAAAGCCCCTTGTTATGCTGAGCATTTCGGGAAAATTAGGTCAGTTTTGTGCCAGGATGCGACCAACACCAGTCGACTAACATGCAGGTGCCCATTTTAAACTGATGGGTGAATAGGGACAGGGACAGCGGGTGAATAGGGACAGGGACAGCAGGTGTCTTACGGAAACATGTCCCTAATGTTTTCCAGCCGTACCTGAGGAGATTGGAATTCCGGACAAACAATCCTCGACGACGCACTGTCTTGGGTTATCCTGGGTGGCTAACCCTGCGAGGCTAGAAATCCGAACGAAATCTTATCTAACGTTGTCACAATAAAATGTCACATTAGTTACATCTGTGTCCTTTTACTTAACTTGTTGTCGGTAATTCTACCAATGTTTGACTCCCTGAGTAAGCACGTGTGCATATCACCAATGACGCCGTTGAAGTCCCTTACGCTGTATATTCTTGATGGGTGTTTTAAGGACTACTGCACTGACCCCTTCTTTAGGGTATAATATTAATAATGCCTTGATGACAGTGAAGGGCTCTTGATTCCGGGAAGTGAATCTGTCCTTGCTATCCATGGATCGAATTTGATTACATCTCAATACCCATGAGAGTAACTTCTACATGATAAACTTTCCACCGATTATAACGTGATGATAATAATGTTTTTGTATTTCTACTTGAAAAAAAAAACATTTTGAGGGTACTGTATAGGATATATATAAATTGTAATAGAGCGTAGCAACGTGTTGGATGGGTAGTTATTAGAGTAGTGTTTACATAAGCAATCATTATAACCGGGTCACTTATATTAAACAGAATTGTCTTTGGCAGTTATTATGAAGTTATCGAAATACACATATAAATATTAAAGCTACAAGTGGGTTTTCTCCACACAAAATGTTGAAATACACCATGAGAGAACTGTAATAAAGCTACATGTAGCGTAGATAATGTGAGTGGTAAATAAGACTGGTCCTCCACTTAAAGAAGCAGCAGCAGCAGCAGTGTTGAAGTAAAGTTTCTTAAGTCAACGATTCCTACAGGTATTTGTCTTGTTGTGTTGCTATGACCAACTTAGGTGTGGACAGCAGGGATTAATGTACTGTATCAGGTAGCTTTTGCTAGCAGTTACTGATTTTAATACCTATAGATAGCTAAGAACTGATGGGACAGACGGAAAGATTTCAGGTAGATGGTGAATCAGCATACCAGTTTGTGGTGTAATTAATAAAGACATCAATAAATATAATAACTGATAGTAATTAAAGAAAAATGGTTTAGATGGTTATAAAGAATTATCATGGGTTGCTGTATTGGTTTAGATGGTTATAAAGAATTATCATGGGTTGCTGTATTGGTTTAGATGGTTATAAAGAATTATCATGGGTTGCTCTATTGAGGCGCACAGCCAGACTCATGGTCTGGAGTTTACCTGGAGAGAGTTTCGGGGGTCAACGCCCCCGCGGCCCGGTCTGTGACCAGGCCTCCTGGTGGATCAGAGCCTGATCAACCAGGCTGTTGATGCTGGCTGCACGCAAACCAACGTACGAGCCACAGCCCGGCTGATCAGGAACTGACTTTAGGTGCTTGTCCAGTGCCAGCTTGAAGACTGCCAGGGGTCTGTTGGTAATCCCCCTTATGTGTGCTGGGAGGCAGTTGAACAGTCTCAGGCCCCTGACACTTATTGTATGGTCTCTTAACGTGCTAGTGACACCTCTGCTTTTCATTGGGGGGATGGTGCATCGTCTGCCAAGTCTTTTGCTTTCGTAGTGAGTGATTTTCGTGTGCAAGTTCGGTACTAGTCCCTCTAGGATTTTCCAGGTGTATATAATCATGTATCTCTCCCTCCTGCGTTCCGGGGAATACAGGTTTAGAAACCTCAAGCGCTCCCAGTAATTGAGGTGTTTTATCTCCGTTATGCGCGCCGTGAAAGTTCTCTGTACATTTTCTAGGTCGGCAATTTCACCTGCCTTGAAAGGTGCTGTTAGAGTGCAGCAATATTCCAGCCTAGATAGAACAAGTGACCTGAAGAGTGTCATCATGGGCTTGGCCTCCCTAGTTTTGAAGGTTCTCATTATCCATCCTGTCATTTTTTCTAGCAGATGCGATTGATACAATGTTATGGTCCTTGAAGGTGAGATCCTCCGACATAATCACTCCCAGGTCTTTGACGTTGGTGTTTCGCTCTATTTTGTGGCCAGAATTTGTTTTGTACTCTGATGAAGATTTAATTTCCTCATGTTTACCATATCTGAGTAATTGAAATTTTCTCATCGTTGAACTTCATATTGTTTTCTGCAGCCCACTGAAAGATTTGGTTGATGTCCGCCTGGAGCCTTGCAGTGTCTGCAATGGAAGACACTGTCATGCAGATTCGGGTGTCATCTGCAAAGGAAGACACGGTGCTGTGGCTGACATCCTTGTCTATGTCGGATATGAGGATGAGGAACAAGATGGGAGCTAGTACTGTGCCTTGTGGAACAGAGCTTTTCACCGTAGCTGCCTCGGACTTTACTCTGTTGACGACTACTCTCTGTGTTCTGTTAGTGAGGAAATTATAGATCCATCGACCGACTTTTCCTGTTATTCCTTTAGCGCGCATTTTGTGCGCTATTACGCCATGGTCACACTTGTCGAAGGCTTTTGCAAAGTCTGTATATATTACATCTGCATTCTTTTTGTCTTCTAGTGCATTTAGGACCTTGTCGTAGTGATCCAGTAGTTGAGACAGACAGGAGTGACCTGTTCTAAACCCATGTTGCCCTGGGTTGTGTAACTGATGGGTTTCTAGATGGGTGGTGATCTTGCAGCTCTCACTTCACATGCTGAGGTTCCGGTTTCGATTCCTGTCGAGGGTAGAAGCATTGGGCGTGTTTCCTTACACCTGTTGTACATGTTCAGCCATCAGTAAAATGGGTACCTGGGTGTTACTCGACCAGTGTAGGGTCGCATTCTGGGACAAAACTGACTATATTTGCCTGAAATGCTCTGCATAACAAGCAGCTTTCTATATAGTAATCCCCTCAAGGGAAGTTCCTTGATGCTGGTGAGGGGCTCTTGATCTAAGGAATTGGATCTGTGCTCTAGTTCCCTGAACTGAGCCTGAATACCTTCCATCCTTTCTCCACATGTGCTGTATAATCCTACGGGCTTAGCGCTCCCCCATAATTATTATAATATTCTATATAGTAGTATATCATTGATGCCAGCTAGGCCTGTGTGCCTTGTACATGTACTTGTAGAAATAAAATTATTATTATTATTATTATTATGTCACTTACTTTTTTGGGTTATCCTAGGTAGTTTACACATGTTACTATGTATGATAATTTGTGGAACTGTATTTATGTGTACCTATATCTAAATAAACTTACTAAGCCACTTATCTTGACTTTTTTTAGGGGTTATCCTAGGTAATTTACATGTTACCATCATTACAGAGCTGCGGCTTGGCCAGGACTTGATCCTGCATTCCCATGCCCAGCCCTGTGGGAACTGAACAAATTACACTTTACTTTCTCCACTTGACCAGCAATCCTTAAACACCAGACACTCAGCAGGATCAAGTCCTGGTCAAGCCGCAGTTCTGTTAATGATTCAAAGTCACTCATTTTGTGATTTCATTAATATATAGACTGCTCGTGAAGGCTGGTACACCAAACAGGATGAGGTTGAAATTAATCTCTGAGGCTCCATGACCACAGATGTCTTTGTATCAGGGAAAACACGCTCAGTACTACTGAGTACCTGATGTTTAAGGATTGCTGGTGAAGTGGAGAAAGTGATGCGTACTTTATTCAGTACACACAAGGCTGGGCATGGGAGCGCAGGATCAAGTCTTGGCCAAGCCGCAGTTCTGATAATAATTCAAAATCACTTGTTTTGGGATTTTATTAATGTGTTACCATGTATGATAATTGTAGTCACCTGAACTTTGTGTAACTATTTATGTGTACCTGTACCTAAATAAACTTACTGAATCATCTAATAGGTTTTTCTACATTTTTGGTGGCCCTTTTATTTTCATCATAGTTTGTATAGAGTTTCAAATAAAAAAAAATCAGTTTTGTTTCTAATTTAGTGGCTACAGTCAGGGCTGGATTAAGAAGTCTCCGGGCCCTAGGCTACTCAGATTGGCGGGGCCCCTTTGAGTTACGGGTAAGCGAAGCGACCCCTTCCAGCTTGGGGGTGGGGGGGGGGGGTCGGTGTGAGCCTGTTTAAGGTCTAATTAAATACATTCTGGCTATTTAGATTAAATTTAATAGGGAAAGTACATCAAGACAACCAAAACCATTTACCAACAGCCATTATAACTATCTTGTTAAATCATGCATTTTAAAGAGAATAAACTCAAGACAGCATAGTATTACTAGATTAGGCTATTAAAGTAGTGACATCATGTACCTATTATATTCAGCATAACCACTACAGCACTATTATTCCCTTTATAAATCACTGACCATTATTGTTATCATTGCATCATGCATAAGACTATCAAAATCATATAAACTCAAGAAAGTAAAGAATTGTTTATATTCACAGGCACTTCTTAAATAAACTTTTTTCTGGATTTCATATTGGCAAAATCATCAATTATATTCTGAAAATCAATATTTCTTGTTAGATCAGACTCAATGGTCAACAAGGCTAGGTTACACAATTTGTCTTGGCTCATTGTTGAACGGAGCTGGTTTTTCACTCTTTTCAAAACAGAAAATGAACGTTCTCCTTCACAGTTAGTAGCTGGAAGTGTTAGGTAAAGGCGATACACTATGTCAACATTAGGGAAGGTTTCTGAGATACCTGCATTTCTTAAATGTTTCAAAGCAGCTGAGGGCACACATTTTTCAGGTGGAGCTTTAATCTGATTCATATACCCAGAAAAAATGAACTATTTCTTCAACAAATGTGTCCTGAACATCTGCTGAAAGGTGTTGTTGCAACTTTAATGCAGCTTCTCTCAATTCTGCATCTGGCATAGTAGTAATTTTGAACAGAAATCCAAACTTGTCATTGAGATTCTGGTAGATTTCTTTTCTTTTCACCAATTCTGTAATCAGTGAATCCAGAATGACGAAGTATGTAGCTGTCTTACATTTCTGCCTTGGTAGCAACACAATTTCATTGTCTGGCTCTTCAAAATTGCGTTTCCTCTTCCTTGACCACTGATGATCAGCCCGGTAACTGTAGTCTTTCACCAGCAGTTTAGCTTTCTCTTCAAACATTTCAAAAGCTTCATCATTGCGAAGTGAGCTTACAAATTCCACTAAGCCTGCATAGAGGTTAGCACAAGTAGCCATTTCAATTTCAATTTTCTGAAGTGTCTTGTTCGTGGCATTTAACCGTTCCAGTATACAGTCCCAAAGCACACAGAGTAAGGCCAATTCAAAATCTTCCAATTTTGATGCTAAGCTGGCTGCTTCGCTTCTTGTAGTTGCTGTCTGGTCTTCATCCTCTGCTATTTGGATCAAAGCAGAACGTATTTCAGCAAAGCTGTCTTTCAAAGCATGTGTTGCATCATGCTGCACTGAGAGTATACCATCTATGATCTTTTCACAGTTTCTGAATTTGCAAGCTTCCTATAAAACATAGGTGACTTTAAACAACGACGACTTCCATCATCATAAATCCTTGCTGATTTCCTAAAGTCAATGTTCAGAGTTTGACTGAAGTTTTCTGCAATGAAAGCATTACATAGAGAATCTGGGATTACATTTGGCCATGAGGCAGGATCTTTTAAGACAAATCCTGTGGATGAAATGTCCGTTGAGACATTGAGAGGAGACACAAAAGAAGTAAATGCTGGCTGAGAAATAATGGAGGGAGGGCTTCCTGTATGATATGACGTATCTGCAGATTCAACTGTACTGGTAACATCAGAAACTGTTTTCGTGAGCATGTCTGTGATCTTTCTGCAGCTTCTTACATCTTTCTTTTTCTGTTCTTCTTCTTGAATTTTTTTCTTTCTTTTCTGTGACCCACTCGCATAAGAACGTCCAACATCACATTCACGAGATGCCATAATGAGGATGTATCACTGTCTGTAATCATGCAAATACAAATTTTTCATTATCAATTATTATTAATTTTTTAATTATTATTAAATTTTTTTTTCTGTCAATTGGGGGGATATGGCCCTTGTAGCCTCCTTTCCTCTGGCTGTGCATCTAAAAATTCAAAACATTACCAGAAAGGAGTCATATACAGAACTTTTACCATAGATTAGGTTAGTGATTTGGGCTACGAATATTTTACTAATTCATCCTCCTTGATCTCCAATTTACTTAAACAGAAATCATACTGAGTCCAAGAACAATGCACAATGGTATTTATATTACCATTTTCATAACTAAACTAATCATTATGTTTTGCATGATATATGGCCTACCACCATAGATAAGGACATGAGAATTAAAGAATGCAGGGACAATTTTCAGTTTCACCCAACCAATGATTTTCTGATGTGGCTTATGTGCTTCTGGGGAAATATGTAGTAAATTAATTGATGTTCTACATCACTTCCGTCGCAACTTGAAAACTAAGCATTTGCGACGGAAGTGATGTAGAACATCAATCAATTGAGATCTGTTATTGAAATGATAAAGACTTAAAGACAGGACAAAGTGCTTTTAAAACCTACAAACGGAAGTCAGTTTGCATTTTAGGTTTTTCTTTATAGTATTTTTACCAAAAATGCGTCTTTACTGGTCCATGCGTCTTTACTGGTCAAGTAACCCTATCAGGTACCTCCCTTAACATTTAGAGACAAAAACAAACATTTATCCATACACATCAATGTCTATCAACAACACTTCAGTTAATTTGTCACAGTACAAGTCTAGATAACTTGTAATTACTACAGAAATTTGGAGAGGAATCTCCCATACTCACCCATTAGCGGGAAAACACAGCTGTTCTGATGTAAACAAAGGCGTGTTGAGTGTTGCCATCTATGGTTAGGTTTATTTATTTTTATTTTATTTCATTATTTATTTTTGTTTTGATTAATTTTTAAAAATCAATTTTACTCTCCAAACACTTGAACTTTTTAGGTAGGGACCCCTTTGCACTTGCACCATGTGCGCAGTTTTGGATGAGCCCCTGAACCCCTTGGACCGCGGGGCCCCCAAATGCGCGGGGCCCTAGGCAAATGCCTAGTTTGCCTGTGCGGTAATCCGGCCCTGGCTACAGTACTTCACCTTGACAAACAACATAAGGATGATATAGGGCAGTGTCCTAGTATTTATCATTTGCAATGGAAGTCATCCTGACTTTTTTGGGGTTATCCTAGGTAATTTACACCATGTATGATAATTGTACATAAATTTACCTGTACTTAACTAACTAAACTTAATTACGTACTTAATGTCCCTCAGGAACTTAAAACTGTTCTCTTTGCAGAAAACACTCCTAGATCTGGTTAACTCCAACACTTATAAAGATGTCTGCTGCATAATAAGCAAGAGACCTACATAGTGTTTGGATTCAACATAAAGGTAAATAATACACACATTGAAAGACAAGGGAAAATTCATAGGCAGGTATACACCTTGAGACCACACTAAAATTGAACATGCTTATCCAGGAATTTTTATTTACAGCAGTGAGTATTTATGATCAACTAACGAATCAGCACCTTAAGGAAAAGAGAAATTTTGTTATTCAATCTTTTTATGTTTACATTTGTAGATCAATGGTTCAGAGAACCGACACGTTGATAAATTAGACACATGTGCAACTCTTGATTGATGGACTGACCACATCGACTCAAGGCTGAGGGACTGATTACCTCATTCTCCTCCTGTACTTCAAGATTCTCCTTTGTATGGACTGATGAAGCCACTGTGTGGCAAAACGTTTCCTCAATAAAGATACCCAAGAGTTGCACATGTGTCTAATTTATCAATGTTTACATTTGTTTACTTTTGAACATTGGCAAAAATTAAACATTTCCCCTACTTTGAACTCCATTTCCAGGTTCTTTTTATAGTAAAATCAATCAAAATCACCTCTATTTCTATAATATGTTTTCCATTCTATCAAATGGGACCAAGAAAACGAGAATATAACCATAAATACTATACGAAAATAGACCACAAAGTCGGCATTTTAATTAAAAAAAACGGTCGGAGTTTTTTCTTCTCATTATGCACTGCATGCTCCAGGATTTTTTTTATATGGTGCACACTGACCACACAGACCCATTCTCTCACATGTGGGCCTACTAGCTTTCTCCTGCTTGATTTGAAGCCGCTAGAATTTATGAGTATATATACGTCAAACACGGTACCTCGTAAGACGTATATATACGACCTCGACAGTCAAAGGGTTAAGGGTTAATCCTTAGCATATTTTTTGGTATAGATGTGATGAGTTCCTATATATTTGGTACAGTTTGATAGGATATTGTTTTGTATTTTTACCAATGTTGCTAAGTTACAACATATTGGAGTGAGAGGTGTGGAAGGAAGTACAGTGGTCCCTCAATTATCGTCCATAATCCATTCCTGGAAGTGGGACTATTATCGAAATAGACGATTTTCGAATCAATTTTCCCCATAAGAAATAATGTAAATACAATTAATCCGTTCCTGGCACCCAGAAGTATTAAAACAAAAAAAAATTTTACATGAAATATAGATGTAGTACATAAACAATTCAATGGGACATGATGAAACATTAACAGGATAACACTTACCTTTATTGGCAATTCTTCTTAGTGTATGGAAGACTGGAGGAGGAGAGAGATTGGATTAGTTACTGTTTGGAAGGGGAATCCCCTTCCATCAACACCTCAGGTACTACCAAGTCCTTTTCTGGGGTTACTTCTCTTCTCTGTTTCTTAATGCCACTAGGACCAGCTTGAGAGTCACTGGAGTCTCTGTTTCTGGCAAGCCACTATGGCTTGCAACATCCTTCTCAGGGTGATGTTTCTCCATAAATCTTTCCATCCTACCCCACATTTCAAAAATCTCCTTAATTTCTGAAGAAGGCACCTTCTTCCATCTCTCTTCCTCCTCTGCAGCAAGATTCTGAGCTGCAATCTGTTTCTGTTCCTGCTGAAGCTCTTGCAGCTCCTCAGTGGTTAGCTCTTCGTTGTGGTCCTCCACCAACTCTTCCACATCCTCCAAACTCACATCCAACCCCATGGAACTCCCCAATGCCACAATTGAGTTCACAAGTGACATAGGCTCACCAGGGTAGCCACAAACCCTTCAAAGTCACTCTTGTGGACACAATCTGGCCACAATTTTCTCCAAGCAGAGTTCAAAGTCCTGGTAGTCACTCCCTCCCAAGCCTTACCTATAAGGCTTATGGAATGGAGGATACTGAAGTGTTCTTTCCAAAAATCTCTTAGGATCAAATAAGTGTCTGAGGTCACATACTAATAACATAGAAACATGGAATATACTCTAGAATGAATAAAATAAGTCATTATGTATGTCACGAGGTGTTGTGTCGTCGTTGGGTGTATAAAGGTCACTGAGAGTAAGCCGTCCATAATGGTGGTGAAGCAGCAGCTGAGGCGGCGGTGTTTTCTGTAGCCCTATATAACTCCAACAACATTGGAGGAGTTAGTAGAATTGCTGAATCACTGAAGAAGGTACCCTCTACCACCATCACAACCACTACCACCTTCTACCACTATTACAACTGCTACCACCATCACTACCACCTTCTACCACTATTACAACTGCTACCACCATCACTACCACCTTCTACCACCATTACAACTGCTACCACCGTCGCTACCACCTTCTACCACTATTACAACTGCTACCACCATCACTACCACCTTCTACCACTATTACAACTGCTACCACCATCAACCACTATCACAACTGCTTCCACTCTACCACCACCACCTTCGTATTTTTCTACAAACTTTTTCTTTAATTATGTGTGTTTGTCACATTCTTTACCAAAGGGCTGGTACTAGAAGGTTTCTTTGGAGCCATGGTGACTTATTTAGCAGTTGCAGGCACTAAAACTTTGTCACATTCTTTACCAAAGGGCTGGTACTAGAAGGTTTCTTTGGAGCCATGGTGACTTATTTAGCAGTTGCAGGCACTAAAACGAATGGAATATTATGAAATGTATCATATGAACTCATGGGATCATCCTCACTCACTGATAAACAGTGGCACACTGGCTGGGAATGGAGTGTGAGGTGGCTCGGGGCTGTGTGTACACGTCCCAGATGAAAGACGATTAGCGAGTCAACTGACCATTTGCGAGCCAGTGTTTAGACGAAATAACAGGACTATTTCCGAAATGGATGACTTTCAGGCCGGACAATTATTGAGGGACCACTGTACTATATAATACAGAGACCCATTGAAAAGCAGAAACACCATGGGCATAAGAAAATACTGTGTCAACATCTGTGGTACTCGGGCTGTTCTTCAACTCTGTATATCCTTGGTTAGGCCTCATTTAGACTATGCTGCTCAGTTCTTGTCACCGTATTACAGAATGGATATAAATGCTCTGGAAAACGTACAGAGGAGGATGACAAAGATGATCCCATGTATCAGAGATCTTCCCTATGAGAATAGACAGAGGGGGCCCTGAATCTGCACTCTCTAGGAAGGCGTAGAATTAGGGGGATATGATCGAGGTGTATAAATGGAAAACAGGAATAAATAAAGGGGATGTAAATAGCGTGCTGAAAATTTTCAGCCAAGACAGGACTCGCAGTAATGGTTTCAAGTTGGAAAAATTCAGATTCAGGATGGATATAGGAAAGCACTGGTTTGACAATAGAGTTGTGGATGAGTGGAACGAACTCCCAAGTACAGTTATTCAGGCTAAAACGTTGTGTAGTTTTAAAAATAGATTAGATAAATACATGAGTGGGTGTGGGTGGGTGTGAGTTGGACCTGACTAGCTTGTGCTGCTGGGTCTGGTGCCGTGCTCCTTCCTTGATTGGAGGTGACCAGACTGGGTGGGTCATTGGGCTAATCTGGGGGGGGGGGATCATTGGGCTAATCCGGGGGGGGGGGATCATTGGGCTAATCCGGGGGGGGGATCATTGGGCTAATCTGGGGGGGGGGAACATGGACCTGCTCCGCATGGGCCAGTAGGACTGTTGCAGTGTTCCTTCTTTCTTATGTTCTTATTCAGCTTGCCACCAGTAGATATTTAGAAACGCCTGTATTGTCAGAACATACATACATGTTTAACCCTTTGAGGGTCGACAGGCCCTCTCCGAGACTCGTTCTTAGGATCGGCCAAATTTAAAAAAAAAAATTTTTATGAAAAGATAGAGAATCTTTTCCTAATCATAATGACACCAAAAGTATGAAATTTGATGGAAAACTTACGGAATTATGCTCTCGCGAAGTTAGCGGTCTCGGCGATGTTTACGCATCGGCGATTTTGCCCACTTTGAGCCCCATTTTCGGCCAATTCCACTGTACTAGTCGACAAAAAACATTAATATTTCGCTAGAACTCCATTTTTTCTATTGAATGAGTGCAAGAAACCACCCATTTACCAATTTCAACTATCTAGTACAGTGATCAGAATTTAGCAATTTTGCCAATTTCACACAAATTTCAAAAGATGGCAATTTCTGAATAGGGTCCAGAATAAACAAGAAAGACATTCCTGGCACTAAAATGACATTTCCTCTGTTCATTAGTCACGTCTCAAGGCCCCTCTTACATTCTTTTGCTTTCCACTTTGAATTTTTATTCTCACAAAAAATAAAGATTTACTGTTATGCAGACTACTGCATTAGTGTAAAAAATGGTATAAATAATATTGGTTCACTTGCGAAAGAACATTAGACTCACCAGTTGACGTGTATTGGACACTTGGCATGATTTGTTTACTTTTGAACTTTGGTAAAAATCAAACATTTCTGCTACTTTGAGCTCAATTTCAAGGTACTTTTCATTGTAAAACCAGTCAAAATCATCTCAATTTCTGTAATATGTCTTCCATTGTATAAAATGAGACCAAGAAAACTAGAATACAACAATAAATACCATACGAAAATACAGTGCAAAGTCGCTGTTTTATTCCAAACAAATGATCAAATTTTTTTTTTTTCTCATTATGCACTGTGTGCTGCAGGATTTTTTTTATACTGCACACACTGACCACATAGACCCACTCTTTCATATGTAGGCCTACCAGCTTTCTCCCACTAGATTTGAGGGCGCTCGAATTTAGGTGTACAGGTCTCCCTCAACTATCGCGAGGGTTAGGGGATCAAGAGCCTCGCGAATGTTGAAAAACCGTGAATGTTTGGTGCCCCAATATATTGTAGGGAAATATGTTACAATACTGCTTCCTTAACTTGTTGAACCATGAATAATCATAAAATACATGAAAACATCGTAAATTGTACTAAATATATACAGTACATGTTATGCTTTAATAACTTATGTTATTTAATAACATGTATGTTAATAACATGTATGTTATTAAATACCACAGACTCCACCAATGCCTCCACCACTGAGAGTCCCTACTACCCTCCCTC